CACCAGGACACCAGCACCGTAGTCTTTGGTTGACTACCTTGATCTTTTTCTCCCTCCTAAGCCCATAACCCGAAACCGGGAGGATTGAAGAAAACACCACCTGTGCCCCAACCCCCTAAGCCCCACTCCCCAAACCCTGTAGCCTCTCATGACCTGGCTGGGATTGCTCCGAGCCATGTCATTCGGGCCCACATGGATAAGGAGCATAGGGTAGTGGTCGGTGGGCTGGATGACCTTTGGGATCCTCTCAGCTATGTCCTGGATGTGGGCTCCTGGGAAGTAGCAGACCTCCCGGGCTAAGGGGTCGGGGCAGCAGATTGCACCCTCAGTCCCCCTCAGGAAGGAGTTTCCCACAACAACCACTCTGTGTGGCCTTAGGGAAAGCTGGGATGGTAGCTTGAGAGGTCCTCCCTTGCCTGCAGGAGCTGGCAGCTCTGCAGGCTCTACTGGGGCTGCACGAGGTTCATACCTGTTGCAAAGCCCCAGAGGGGAGGCGACCCTGGTGCAGCAGGCCTTGGGGCCATTGACTACCTTGGTCTAACCCCCAGGCTGGGCAGTGTAGGAGATCCTTGAGTCCTCCCTTGTCCTGGAAGGTGACTTTGGTCTACCCCTGGCCTCCAGGGGGTGAAGGGCCTGGCAGTAGGAGTCTGTCTCCTGCTCACCAACCCTGATGGCACGCAGTCTCTGGACTGCGGCCTGGAGCTCCTCTATTTGGTGCCCCAGAGCCTCCAAAGTGGAACAAACCTCGCAAGGGGAGGTGGCCATGCTCCCGGTCCCATGTGCCTGGAATCGTGCCAGGCAGCCCCCGCAGCCAGGAGCCAGAGGAATCTACCACAGGTGCTAACGACTCTCTCTCCTTTTTAATGGCCTTGATGTTTCCCCAATCAAGCTACCAGATGTTCTGTAATTCTGCTGCCTGTTAGCTGCTCCTGGTAAAGAGGCTCCTATTTCACAGCCTTGCAGCCTTTTGAACTCATTCCAATGAAGTTGCATTTGTTTTTGTGTCCATCTTAAACTGAATTAGCTAGCCTGAGGCACACAGGGGCAGGGTGTGGATGCTGAAACCATAATCTAACCTCTACATTGGACTGCTGTCAAGTCAGACACGATGCAGACCTTGCACCCAAACCTGCCACAGGTGAAGACACGGGTCAGAGCCTGCTCGCCCGAGCAAAAAGGCAAGGGAGCCTGTTCTGAGGAGCGGGATGGGCTGGGTGAGGGGCGAGCCCCTCCTCACACTGGTGAGGGCAGGGCATGGCAGTCCCAGGGCTTCACCGTAACCATTCAGAGCTGAACCCCTCTGTGCACATTAAACAGCATGTTTGTGATGGAGAGAGAGATGCGGGTTTGTTCTCTGATATTAATTGATCTTAGGTCCGGCAAGTTGCTTTGGGTAGATGTGATGCCTTTCATTGGACCAACTGAGTAGTTGGGGAAAAGCTTCTGGGTGCGATCACCCTTCTTCAGGCATAGGAAGTCTCTGCTGTTCTGAGACTCCAAGGAATGAAAGATGCTAGAAGTGTGAGGGGATGTCAGTGAGAATGTAAATAGGTGGAAATTAGGAAAACAAAAGGTAGAAAAGGGAAGGGAGGAGGAAAAACAAGGTGGGGGGGGGAGCCAAAGGTAAGTAAGAGAGAGACTCTACTGTAGTAGTTTTCCAGGGTAGAAAAGAGACCGTCTGTGGAACAGTAAATAGCTGGAAATGAGGAAGACAAAGGGTAGAAAAGGAGGCAAGGGCAGGAAAAGAAAAGTGTCAAAGGTCAGATCTGCAAACTCCTAGAACACTTGGTTCAGAGACGATACCTTTCATTAGCCCAACTGAGAAATCACAGGAAAATCGAAGAAAAAGATGTGTTTTTTTTGGTGATTTCTTAGTTGGTCTAATAATAGCGATCATCTCTGAACCAAGCGTTCCAGAGGTTTGCGTTTCTTTTTGTCTAAGACCAACACGGCTACCAACTGCACCCCTAAAAGGTCGATTCGGGCAGGTACACAGTGCATCCGAGGTCAGACAGGTTGTAACGTGTCATAACTCCAGTGCCTTTGTTGAGTCCACAGGTGATTGTGGTAGCCGCGTCTGTCTGAGACAACAAGAAATACAAAAATCTAGAACTCTCCGGTCCAAAATGATACCTTTTATTAGACCAACTTAGCAATTAATTACATATATAGATATAGATATATATGTATCGATATTTCCTGCATTTCTGTATTGACTCCGTGATTTTTTTCGTCTCCAGCAGATGTATTGAGTGCACGTTGTAGGTGTGGTGTAAGTCCTGCTTTCGGTTGAACTCAAACAGCGCCGCCGCACGCGCTTCTGCAGCGGCACCCGAGCCACCTCCAACGGGCGCGAAGGATCCCGCACGTGGCCCGAGGAGGCTCTGGAACGCGCCGCGCCGCGCGTAGCGGAAGGGGCGGGGCCTCCCGGCGGGGGCGGGGCAGGGGAGGTTCAGGAGCGCGCCGCGCGTAACGGAAGGGGCGGGGCCTATCGGCGCCCCTCCCCTGGCCGGGGTGGCTGTGTCGCGCGGG